AATTGCAATTTTTTTTTAAATTTTGCATATTTTTGCATTTTTGGAAACAATGTGTATTTTTTATTTTTTTTTAAATAGCATAAAACCGAAGTTTATTATGTTACCTTTGAATAAAAAAAAATTTAGAGTGGGCCCGACATGTAGAAGGGAAGTTTTTCAGGGACTAGGTTTTGTAAACTATATATGGCCATATAAGGGTACCTTATTTGTTTAAACATCACATCACATCACACAATCACCATTACATTAACCACTGTGATAGAAGTTAAAATTAAAATTTATATTTTTTAATTTGACTTTTTATAACCTTATTAACCAAGTTTGTGTCTGGCTTAATTGGATTTTAACAACTGGCCCACTTTAGACTCTGGTATCCAATTTTTATTTACCTATGGTATATTGCACGTAAGTATCAAAAAACAATATTTGCCTATCGACCCAACTCACCACTGATAAGCTGCCTTTCGTCATAGCCCTCAAGTTGAGGTTACATTCTTCCATTGACATGTAGAGCGGAAAGGAATACTAGATCGGAGTTTTTTATTATAATATTGTAAAATCATGTTTTGAGTTTTTTCCAGTAAAATGTTGACAATGTTTAAGAAAAATAAGATGTGCGACAATTTCTTTTCTTTTGTATTTTTTTTTTTATTTTTTAAACAAATTTTACGTTTTAATACATTCTAGCTTTACTGTTTAATAGATTTTTTAAACCAACACAGCTTTTATTTTAAAAGTAGATTTTTAAGCGTCTCCCAAACTTAAAAAATCAAATTACTCAATACTGCATTTTTGAAGTTATCTGTTTTTTGCAGTAACCCGACGATATGTAAAAGGTTTTTAAACCACCGCACAATGGGGCAGGAACTCTCAAAACCTGTCAAAAATTAATAAAATGAAATGTAATTTAAAAATACGAAATAAGGTAAACAAAAAATTTAATGAATGCACCTGTGAAAAAATTTAAATGTAAGGTAAGGTAAATTAACATAAGGTACACAAAAAGTTTAATGACCAATAACAAAAATAAAACTTTTCTTAGCTTTATTGCTTGGGAAAATTTTAAACTGATATCATTACCTACTACGACATACATTACTGCCAATATAACAGAAATAATTGACAACTAATCTCCCAAATTTTTGACGTTGTCAAATTCCGAATAAAAAAAACAAACTCTATGTTATAGAGTATAGATATATCTAAACTCTATAACTCGAAGTTTAAAAGATATACTCCGTATGTCGTAGTAGGTAATGATATCAGTTTAAAATTTTCCCAAGCAATAAAGCTAAGAAAAGTTTTATTTTTTTTATTGGTCATTAAACTTTTTGTGTACCTTATGTAAATTTACCTTACATTACATTTAAATTTTTTACCCTATGTTCCTTAACTCAAAAGAAGGTGATTGGTTATTTTTAGATTTTTACATACATAATTTTATATGTATATATACATTAGGCGTCCCATACTCTCAATTTGCCCAAGGGCGTAAGGTTACGCCGCGCGCCGCGTCACAGGCCGTGTCGCTGTTTTGACCCAGTTCTTATCAATCCTCCAAGCTATAATTTTGGGTTTTTATAGAGAATCGATCAAGGAATACGATGATATTTTTTTTTAAATTTAAAAAAGTGACAATTGTCTCAAAAATCACGTTTGAATAATATAATTGTTTATAACAAATGCAATAGTCGATTATCTTGGAATTAAATATATATGTCATAAAAGTGTCTTCCAAGAGCTACAAAATGCATTTTTGATGAAGTCTGTAGGTTGAATAGAACCGGAGATATAGGCAGTTGAAGGAGGCCGTGTTTTCGATTTTTGGGCTTTTTTGCGAAATTTCAACCCCTTGTAACTTCTAAACTAAGGGTGATAAAAATAAAAAAAAAAGTTCTATCTATTCATTTGTTACCTGTAGAAAAAATTATATTAAAATCAGAGAACTCAAGGTCATTTTTCACCTGTTTTTGTCCGGTTTGACGTGGAATGACTCATTAGCGTGTTTTCGAGAATATCGATTTGAAATATTTAACGTTACACTTAAAACACTTAAAAATTACCCATTAAAGTAACAAAATATTTATCATACCTAATTTGTTTTAGCAACTTCATTTTATTTAATGCCAGTTATTAGGGTTATTTGCCCCCAAGTTCAACCCACTATGAAATGTATGTATTAAATTAAAATTATATACAACTATAATTACAATTAATAATTAATTAACCCAAAACGTGTAATAAATAAAACACGTCCTGAATTAACCATAAACTTAAAACCTGAAGGTATGCATCCACCACATTTTAGTAAAACAAAAGAAAATTTACGGTGCAATTAATCCAGCCACATTTCAATTAACACAGTTACATTGTTTTGATATTATTGTATTGTCAAGTGTATGTGATAAATAGATATTATGCTCTGATGGGAATATACAGTCGAAAATGGAAAATCTAAAGCTAATTAGAATCAATTAATGGCAAAACACAAGCTTCTATTATTGTGTTAAATGTAATGTGCGTTGTTTGTTCTGGTTTATGTACAGCCTCTATTCCAGAAGTCACACCTCTTAATATTTGTTGTTGTCATTTGTCCTGAGTAAACAAACAATAATGTAAATTATAAAATAAAAATATAAGAGGTAATTTATATAAACATTTTCTGTTAAATTAACAGTGTTAATGTAACATTGTAAAAATAAAAGGTGTTAAAAGTCACTACCTAGCAAAAATTTATCAGCGGCATTAGGGAGGACTAACGTGAGTATGCCGATAATGTCCACGTGAGCTCGCCGTTGATTTACGACCGTGCTATTCGTAGAATTTTAGTTAAGATAACCTAAAAAATTTGAATTAATACAGTTTTGGAATCTTTATAAATTTGATTTATTTTAGAAATGGTAGAAAAGTTGAATTTTTTTTGTTAATAACATGTTTTTACCTTTTCTTATGTTGAGGCAATACGTTTTTGAGGATTTATGTTGGTTATTAAAGTTTTTGCGGTCATAATTAAAGATATTTCGCATATCGTTGGACTGGTTTTAAGATAAGGCTTTATTAAATAATTTTTCAGAACAAAAAATATTAATTTTTAAACTTTTTAAAAATGTTTATTTATAAAATTTTTATAAAAAAATATTTTCTTGGCCCGTAAAATTAACAAAGTTATTGTATAAAAGAGTCACACCGTTGAACACGTCATTATTATGTATACCAGCGGTTCTCAAACTGTGGTACGCGTACCACAAGTGTTTACGGTTATCAATATTTCTTATTAAACTTCAAGTTCAATAAATACGTACACGCAGCACAACTTGTTTTATTTAGTTCGGTGGTACTCGATTAATCCACATTGCACATGAATGCACTATGGTTTCTAAACCCCTATAATTTGGCCAAAACCCATTTTTATAAATATTCCCTTTTCTATAAATAAATGTCAATCTTTTAAACTAAACAAAATAAAGGTTTAATTCTTTAACCTGCTTATACCATAAAACGATCCCTCCATAGCAATGCTGTATCATTAAACAATTTTTTTTTGCAAAAAAAAACTGCTAATAACTGCGATATTTTAATATATTAATGTTTTTTTCAGGGATGACCCGTAGACTATCAAATCTACTTCACGCGGTTTGTCTACGCGTTATCTACATATTGTTTACATCCGCTTTTTCTATGTAGACTATGTAAACTATGTAGACAATGTAGACAACCAAAAATTTGAATATAAATGTTTTAAATTTGGATTTTATTTAATTAAGCATATCAGTTTGCTTAACTTTAATTTATATAAAAAAAAACAAAAATATATTAGGTCTTTATGTTTGTCCTATTGTATATTAGTCCTTCAGAGGGGACTTTAAGCCCGCGGTCCGTTCCTACCCCTAACCCGCTCAAGCCATTCAGTTGGCTTCTGGGACTTCTTAGGAAGTAAGGGTAGAACTAGAAGAGCACTTTTGTATATTGTACGTCTTAAAAAATTATTAAAAATAAAAAATAGGTATTTTATATAAATATCTATACAAATTTGTAATTATGTATTTATTTATTTTATTCTTTGGTTATCATTACATTACATAACAGGTTATTATGTTATGTTTAAAATTTAAACATAACCTGACAACTGTCAAAAGTGTATACTTTACGCGTTGTTTACACCAAAACGTAGACAATCATTATTTACCCGTTGATGCCCATCCCTGGTTTTTTATAGACATGTATCGTTTTAAATACGAAAATTTGGTAAATGTATGGCTCCAAGAGCCAGATAAAAGTAAAAAAATATCTGCAATTTGTGGATATATTTCTAGAACTGCAGAAGATGTTGATATGGACCAGCCAAAGAAAAAATTCGTCGACTTTGTTTAACAATTTTATCAAAATTGCAGAGCTCACATAGAAATCTATCTACGTTCAAAGAAGCAAATTCAGCGTGGTTAAGTAGATATTTGATATTGCCGAAGCTTTCTCAGCCGTCTACTTCTTCGGGGACTTCAGGTGGTAGACCACGACTCCCATTCGCTGAAAAGTTAAAGCGGTCAAAACGAAGGGAAGCTGCCCAACTATTAAAAATTACTGAACATACACCTGAATCTTCGTTAATGGTTTAAGCTGCAGAAATGGCAGCACGTAAGGAAGGACAAAAGGATTTAGCAGTAGTATTAAAAGAAGTATCTCAGTCGCCTGGTCGTCCATTGAAGGAAAGGAAACTTCTCTCACCAAGACCCGAACCTGTACCATAATCCCCTGAAGAGGCTTTAGAGTTGATACTGGAAAATAATTTTAGTAGACAGCAATATCTCAATATACGACAAGGAGCTTTAGCTAGAAACTGCAACATTTATCCGGATTACAAACAAATATGGAAAAGTTAATTAAATTGTAGACCAAAAGGTATTGAAGTATCTGATGTTATAGCTAAACTTTCTTTAAAAAGCCTTTTAGAACATACAACTGAACGCATTGTTACATTACAAAATGACGTAATTCTTCAAGCTATGGGAAACTTAAGTGAGGCTGGGGCCACAATCTTATTTAGCTACGGATTTAATGGCAGTTCAGGCCAATCTCCTTATAAACAAAAATTTGACACTCCAGGATTCTCTGATTCATCCATATTTGCCACAACAGTTATTCCTTTAAGATTAGTTTTCAATGACATTATTTTATGGAATAACAGGACACCACAATCCGTCCGCTTCTGTAGACCTCTTAAAATACAATTTGCGAAAGAAACTAAGGAACTTGTGCTCATGGAGAAGGAAGATATTAAGGATCAAATTAATCAATTAAATATTTTGGAAATACCTTTATCTACAAGTAAAATATTAAAAATTAAATATAAGTTATTTTTAACGTTGATTGATGGGAAAACTTTAAATACAACAAACACAAAATCTTCCCAAGCTTGTCCCATATGTGGTGCAACCACAAAGGATTTTATACAAGAAGATGATTTTAAATCAAAACAATTTGATCCTAAACCCACGACATTAAAATACGGAATAAGTCCATTACATTTGTAAATACGATTATTTGAATGTATAATACATACCTATATCGTATATATACAATTTACGTATATGGCAAGGAAAGGGGAGCGAAAACAAAACAAAATTTCAAGAAAGAAAAAAGCTAGTTCAAGAACGATTTTTTAAACATATGCATTTAAATGTGGATAAACCAAAGTCTGGTGGAAGTGGTAGTACAAACGACGGAAATACCGCACGTCGTGCATTTTCAGATCCAATCCTTTTTTCAGAAATTACAGATGTCGACGCTGAGTTGATTAAACGTCTTAGAGTTCTATTAATATTCCTAACTTGTCAGTTTGAAATCGATTTGGACAAGTTTGAAAAGTAATGTTTTGAAACTGGAAAAATATCGATGGTTTCCAATGCCAGCTAATTTACACAAACTTATAGTACATGGAAAGCAAATAATTCAAAATTCGGTATTACCAGTTAGCTATTTCAGTGAAGAAGCATCTGAGTCACGCAATAAATTGTATAAACAAGACCGCCAATTCCACTCCCGAAAAACCAGTAGGAAAAACAGTTTAGAAGACGTATTTAACAGGGCTATGGATACTTCAGATCCTTATTGTTCAAGTATAAATTTAAATTCGAGAATTAAAGGTCACCGAACATTAAACATACCTGCAGATGTTGTAAGTTTGTTCCGTGAAATAAATATGCATTTGAGCTCTCAAAATGGAACATCAGAACAGAATAAAATGGAAGATGAAGAGAAAGAATGTTATATAGAAAACGTATGTACTGACTTATTAGACCATTTAGTTTTAGAAAACGATGATGCTATATAAAAAATTTCTTATTGTTAATAAAATACCAAAACGTGTCATTTAGGAAAGTTTATTTTATAAAATACCCTTGTAATTAATTCTTAGTGAGTTTTATTAATATAAAAATGTGTTAAGACTATTCTTGCTTACTTTAATTTTTTATGTTAGTTTTGGTATGCGAAAAAAAAAGTTTGAGAACCGCTGATGTATACAATAACTTAATTAATTTTTGCTTAGCGGTATACGCTAAAGAAACATCGCTAGTAGCCCACTACGTGGCCGTTATTATTGTAACAAATCTACAACTTTTAATAATCAGCTGTCAAACGCGGATGTTACACACAAGTGTTTTTGAGAATAACGCCAAAAATGTTAAATATCGAGAAAAAAACGTGAAAGGATTTGCTGTGTTTGCTGTGTTGTTGGAGGTTTTTCGAGAGGAAATCATGGGTTGAGTTTTTACCGGTTTTCCAATAAACAGTGGAAATCCGAACGAAGAAATAAATTGCACACCTGTAAATATAAATTTTACCTATTAGATTCAATAAATACACATTTTACACATTTCAATTCAGTAAAAAACATAAAACAATCATGCATATATATATATATATATATATATATATATATATATATATATATATATATATATATATATATATTAGGGTGGCCCAAAAAATGCGAATAGTCTCCTATGAAAATATGTTAGTTTATCATGTTTTAAGAGAATTTTTTAAAAATTCCAAAATCCTCGAAAAGCGGATTTTTTTTTGTTTTAATTTTTCTTTCTTATTATTTCATAAGGATCCTGAAAATTTCAAGTTAAAATTTTAATATTGAAAGGTCACTCCGAATTTTTCTAAGGTTCCAAGTCGAGTACCTACTTTATATCTTTTCGAGCTACTTTTGAACATGAATATTAACAATTTTTTTATTTTTTTTCTTAAATTTTACACACTAAAGAATGAAATGAAAGCACGAGAAACAAAAAAAAAGTTTAATGAACAATTTTCAATATTGCAGTATAATTGTCAAAAATCATAATTTTTTAAATTCTTTAAATTCATTTATTTTTTAAAAATTAACATTTTAATAATATTTTTATAATTTTTTATAACATTTTTATAAATTTTAAACACAACAATAGTCAATTTTTAACATAATTTAGAATAACATTATTTATCAACTTTTTTTACCAAAGTAATTTTACATATTAATTAACACTTAATTACATTAAATTGTATTGTTAACTGTATTAAATAAAGTTAATTTTACTCTGGAGTTTTATCAAAATGATCCATTAAACTCCTTTTAGTAGCGTTTGGAAACATTTTTCTGTTTGCTTCAATCACTTGCAATAAGTATTGTTTTTGTTTCTCGTCAGTCACCGTATCATGATATGATTGCATCAAAGCAATTCCACGTTCAGCTGAATCATTCACGAATTTTAGCTCCTGCACAATTTTGAATCCTTCTAAATAACTTTTATCTGATTTCCAGGAACGAGGATTTAATTCTAAAAAGAATTCATCAATTTTCAAGGATTTGAAAAAAAAACATAATATTTTCCGTTATAAAGTCACTTATATCTTTGTCCTATATTTTATTTGGATCAATAATTATCCTATTTTCAATCGTTTTTTTCAAAGATTTTTTTTTCAAAGCTGAAACCATTTTTATTTTAGTCGTAACGAAAATTTGGTCATCGAAGAAAGACAGTCCAACCAAATGTTCATTCAAGTACCATAGATGTCGAGAAAATACCTTTAATGCAGCAGCTGCTACGAATTCATCTTGATTTTTATAATTCACCAAATTTTTTAGCATTTGCAAATCATTCCGTGGTGCCGATATAGCGTTAGAAGAAAGGAACCAAGCTTTTAAATAAATTTGTGTTACAAATTGGTTAAATTTCTTGAGGCCTGATAGTTCTGTAGCCGATAATGTGAATTGATTGTCAGCCTGACAGTAAATAAAAACAACAACCCTGATTAGCTGTCTCCGTGTTCGATTGACAGCGTTGTCTTCTGTACTGATCGTAATTTATACGTAATTCGTTAATTCAATTCATGATACACACAAGTCATCGTGTTAAAATGAAATCAGAAATATAGGTGTATCATTGTTTTTCAAATTACTATTAAAGGTAACTATTTATTTATTTAAAAAAATATTTTTTGCATCTAAACATTTTTCTAACCTAAAAATTTTTTCAGAAATATTTATGCACGCTAAAAAATATTGTAAATGATTTAGAGGTTTACTTTAATTGATTCACTTTAATAATCTTGAAATTGTTATTAACAATAAGAATAATAATAATATTTTTTATAGATTGGAAATGAGCTCTCGGCAAGGATTACGATCAGAAAAATCGCAACCCGGTGAATGGTTATTGGGAAAATATATTACTCATTTAAATTACTCTCAACTGCCAACAAAACGTTCAGTACTAAGTTTTTTCTTATATTTTCACTATGGGCATCAAGAAACAGTAAACGAAAGTTTAAATAGAACAACTAAAAAAGTTTTAAATATTTGGAATAATAAAAACGTTATAAAGGATTTTCATGTTAAAGAAAAAATAAATAAGTTATTTACAGTTTGGAAAAGGTTAAAAAAAATGTAAATGTAAAATTCAGAAGCAAAATGAAGTCAAATTTTCAAATTCACTTGAAGAGTTGTTTGATATTTCTCTTAAATGCTCAGTGCCTGCTAACGAAACTCACATTTCGGCTCCATCTACGTCAACTGCAGTAAGTTTCTCAAAAAAGTAATTTATCTCAGTCAAGCACATCTTCCCACGAGCTTTATGCTTCTCCTCCTAGAAAAAAGCCCAAGTATAAGATTTCTCCTGAGCTGTCATCAATGTTTGATCGTACTAAAACATCTTATCGAAACGGTGTATTTTTGATTTCGGCAGTTTCAGCAGCTTTAGACCGTAAAGTCTCAGATGTCTCGGTAAGCAAAGAAACTATCAGGCGTACACGACAAAAGCACCGAACTGAAGAAGCATCAAGTTTGAAATCGTCTTTTCGTCCAAAAGTTCCTCTTACGGTGCATTGGGATACAAAAATATTTAAAGCGTATAAATCTACTGAATCAGAAGACCGTTTAGCAGTGGTAGTATCTGGTCAAGGAGTTTCAAAAGTGCTAGGTGTCGCACAGTGTTTCAATTCTGGAAAATATCGGCAAAACCTCAAAAATTGACATTTTTTGTGGTAGTTAATACCTGTCCCCATTCTGTATTGATAAAAAATTATATAAAATACGTATATTTTGTACATCAGTTTAAACTTGACGCTTTCAGTTGAAGGTACTTTACACGCGATCGCTGCGAAAAATTGTTTATTGTTTAAAAGTGAATAACTTGTGTTTGGTGTTTCCGATTGTTATACGGTTTGATGAAGGGTGATCTTTAAGGTATCTAAAATTCAGATATGTATTTGTTTTTCGTAGATTTTGCTTGTACAACGGGTTATTGTAACCGACAAGATCGGTCTGTTAAAATCGCAAACTTTGAATCGAGCTTTTAGAACAATGGAGCTACAAAAATTGTAATGAATTGGCATCAGTTCAAGATCCGTTGAATAGCTTAGAGTTTTGTCTATCAAGCCATCAATAAATTAGCTGCCCAACTTCCAGATTCGTTATCAGCGACCCCAAAAACCCTGTGTGGTGATTTTCAATTTATTCCGTCAATTTTTTGACAAATATGTCCGCCATTTTGGATCTACCATTTTGAATTTTGGAATTCTTATTCCAGATTTATTATCAGCGACCCTAAAAACCTCTATATACGGATTTTTAGGAGAATCCGACTACTCCTTGATATTTTGCCGAAAATTTCGAGAATTGAAACACTGTGTGTCGTGATAATTAAAAAATCAACAGGTGTAAGTCAGGCGAATGGTGTTTACGATTTAATCCGAGAATGGAATCTTGAAAGTAATGTAATGTCGATGGGATTCGATACAACTGCAAGTAATACTGGTAATAAAGTTGGAGCCTGTACTTTGCTGGAAAAAAAACTTGGAAAAGAATTACTTCATCTTGCTTGTAGACATCACATTTTGGAATTAATTTTAACTGCAACATTCGGATTACTGCTAGAACCAGTAGTAAGTGGCCCCAATATTAAACTGTTTGAACGTTTTAAGAATCAGTGCAAAAATTTTAATAAAGTTAATTTCCTAAGTGGGGCAGTTGATGATAAATCTGACACGGTTAAATTTATTACTAATCAACTAAAAACAAAACAACCTCGCGATGACTACAAATAATTTTTAAAATTATCTTTGCTATTCCTCGAAAAAACGGCAGATCATAATGACCAAACGATATGTATTAACATGCCAGGAGCTTATCACAGAGCCAGATGGATGGCAAAAATTATTTATTGCCTAAAAATATACTTTTTTCGTAATCAATTCACATTATCGGCTACAGAACTATCAGGTCTCAAGAAATTGAACCAATTTGTAAAGGCCGTATTACAGCCGGCAATTCTTTCGGCAATTGCAATGAAAATTTCCATAGGCATGCGCGGTTGAGACATTTCGACGAATCTCTTGCAATTGCCGAAAATCGGTCCGGATGGATTTTTATTGCCGTTTTGCGGCAATTCTGGGGTGAAATCTGGTAACTTTTATGTTACCAACCCTACAACAAATTCCCTAAAGAGACGCTGTTTGACTTAAACAGTTTAAGGTTATTTGTTTTATTTTGTTCAAAGTTCTAGTATCCATATAACTCATTAATTTTTAAATATCTACTAAATAACAAATAAATAAATAAATAAAATAGTGTTTACAAAATCGTATATTTTTCTTCGGTTGGTAGCACGGTAATAAACAGCAAGTTTTCTTGCCATTGCCGGCTGTAAAACAACATGCAAGACGGCCTTGAAAACTAGATGGCAAGAAAAATTGCTGCAAGAAAAATTGCTGCAAGAAGAATTGCCGGCTGTAATACGGCTTTAACACAAATTTATTTAAAACCACGGAATGATTTGCAAATGC